AATTATAGAATAGTTTATGAATCAGATAACTGCTGGGGTAGGCAGGAACATTGCATAAACATCGCTGACAGTATTTTGATCTGACCTAAAATGATGCCACTAGTAGTTGATAAACAAAGCTGATTAGATTCCTTATGTCTCCACCACCCTGACATATAAATTGAAGAAGACCAAGAGGAAAGAAAGTGAATTCTCGTAGAAGACTGAAATTTATTCAACTTCTCATACAAGGCCTTCTTGTTTCCACCAAAAATGGCTGCCTCTCTTTTAAGCAGACAACCTTCTTTCCACACCCGATCTAACAGCTTCCCCTCTAGACGACACCCTCTCACTTCACAAATTGATGAGCATTTATGCAGAGTAAGATCTTCTAGATTAGCCTCTACATCATCATCATCAATAAACAATAAACTAAATGATCTTCAGGATTTGCATGAATGTGTTAATAGGCTGCTTCAGTTGCCGCTCACCCAGCAAGCCTTAGCCCAAGAACAGTACAGGAATTGGGGTGAAGCTATTCTTGATGGTTCCCTTAGGCTCTTGGATGTCTGCTGCATATCAAAGGACTTGTTGCTGCAAACAAAGGAGAGTACACATGAACTTCAATCCATTTTGCGGAGAAGAGGTGGTGAAGTTAGTAAATGCATGGCCACTAGGAAGACCATCATGAAGGCAATCAACAAGGCCTGGGAGAATATCAAGGCAACGGAAGCTAAAAGCAGATTTCTTTCTTCCACAGACAATGAGAGCATGGCAGTAGTTAGTACATTAAAAGAAGTGGAATCTGACACCCTTTCTTTCTTCGAATCGTTGTTGTCCTTTATGTCGGGTAACAGGTTTCAATCCAAGATAAAAGGCTGGCCTCTCGTTTCCAAGTTAATGCAACCCAAAAGGATCATGTTTGAGGAATCAGATTCAGAAGTTAATGAATTTCAGAAGGTGAACACAACACTAAACAGTCTCGTTGGCCACAGGTCAATCAATTTTGAAAAATTGAAGCATAGTGAGAATTTGCTAAATCAGCTCAAAGACCTGGAATTGTGCATTCAAGATCTAGAAGACAGACTTGAATGCCTGGCTAGGCATTTGTTCAAAACTAGAGTCTTCCTTCTCAACATTTTGAACCACTAGCTTAGGAGATCATGTACTTATATTTTTTTCGCATAAATGGTGTATACATGTACATTACTCTTTTCATACTAAATACAGTGACCTTGAGATGCCACTGGGACTTTTCGATATTCCATTTCAAGTTTTCTTCAATTTATTGTCTCAGGAAAGAAAAAATTAAGGAGAAACCACTTCAAAGCATACTGAGAACTATTCCAAGAAAGCAGTAACATGGATAAATCAAGACTAAAGAAAAACGTGATAATATTTTTATCATTGATTTCAATCATGTATTGGCTTTTCCAAATCTCTAGATAACAGATTAGCTTCCAAGTTTTGTAATTAAACTTTATTCCGAGTGTGTAAAGATTCCCTTTGTCTTGACTAGTAAGATCAAGAACAAATCGAAATAGATGACTTCCACATGAACTCTCCATTTCACATGCTTTTAAATAATTAACAATGTGCTAGTGTCTTCCTGTTAGGGGGATACCACCTAAACCTACACGCTTTGGCTTCTAAGTTTTTAATATTCTGTTTTTTGTTCATTAACTTTTGATGAGGTTGGACAGCTAGAGGAAAGGATCTTGTCTACTCCTTGAAAGGCAATCAGTATATTGATGATGTTGCTAATTAACCAATTGTTGATGGGATGAACTCAGTGGATTCAAATTATAGATGGTTTTAGGGATCATTTTGTAACAACTTTGTAATATTGAACATGGCTTCAGAGTACATAACATACTACTTTTCTCAAGCTACATGATCACCAACTAACAAGAGACTAATTAGAGAATTGTATAATTACAAAAGCCAGCGCTTTCTCTGTTTAAAGGTTCTGTTCGATAATGACAATTTAACGAGAAACCTAATGCGGAAAAGTAAAACAATACAAGAAATTTACGCAATTCAGTCAATGTAGAAGGCATACAGAAAAATATGAAGATTACAACTTCCTCTCATGGCTAAATCCTAGATCCAGTCTACTCCAAAACCGTTTTTTGAAAAGATACTATTTCCTGACACTTAATTTGGTAAAAAATAAAATTAGGGTAGGTTATAACTGAAGGAATACATGGAAAGTAGAAATGAAAATACAACAACATATTCCATGTATGGAGATCTTGCCTGCCTCCTGCACAGCAATCACACCAGAGACCTGAAACCTTGAATCGTTTAATAAGTCATAAATGTTTGCACGTGTATATGCACATGTACACAATGGTTCTGGCCTTAGAAAGGTGGGTTTTGTCTTCTATTATATCATAAAGAAACCATTTTAATCAATACCCCTCGTGCAGTATTCCTATATTATATGGAACCAACACGTTTGGTTCTATTAGTTTTTAATAATTTGATGCTGAGTGGGAGACATGCATAAATAAACATTGCTGAGATAGGATCTAAATCCAAATCAATATTTTTCTACTAGTGCTCCATAATTGAAGAGGAAGAGATTCCTTTTTGTCTCTGTTAAATTTAACGATTTTTTATCTGCTTAAGTTTCAAATTTAAATTCAAATCAACCGTGAAATTGTTTCACGGTTGAATACCCAAACACCATGCAACGTGTATGCATGGATTTTGATTTTTTTTTTTTTTTATCTTATCACTTGGTTGATGTAATCTGTTTCCATCATTTTTGCATTCTTATATATACAAGAATGAAATAAGAAGAAATATAGTTTTCTTCTAAAAAAAAAAAATACAATCCATTTGAAAATAGCAAAACACAGGATATCGCATAACCTTGTTCTGTTTTGCTGTCTCTCTCTCTCATCAACTTTCTCTCTCTAAGTTCGCTCATCCACAGAGCTTCCTTTGACGCTCATTTACTTACGATCAACAGTCTCCCTTAACTTGTTATATACTGAAGAGAGGCAAAGAACAGAAACCAAATTGACAAGAAGTAGTTTAGCAACATTCATCTTCTAGCCTTTCTTTTTGTGAGAAATGGCTGCCTACCATGTTCGCTCCAACAGTTTGCCTTCTACACCACATCCTTTCTTCTCACAGATTGAAATAAATTTGGGCAGAATAAGGGCCTCAGAAGGCACTCCATCATCCTTATCATCAATAAACCACAACCTAAGTGGACTTCAGGATTTGCATGATTGTTTTGAGAAGTTGCTTCTCTTGCCTCTAACCCAAAGAACATTAGTACAAGAGGAACAACCAAAATGGAGTGACCCATTGTTGGATGGATCTCTCAGATTGCTGGATGTATGCAGTACTGCTAAGGATTCCTTGCTGCAAACAAAGGAATGCACGCAAGAACTTTTGCCGATCATCCGGAGAAGAGGTGGAGTTGAAACTGAGGCTAAGAAATTCCTAGCCTCAAGAAAGGTGATTAAAAAGGCAATCCACAGGGCCATTGGGAGGTTGGAGAGTATGCAAAAGCAACGAGAACTTTCTTCCTCGAACGCAGACCAGGAGACAATGGCCACAGTTAGCATGTTGAGAGAGGTGGAAGCAGTTACTCTCAATGTATTCAAGTCATTTTTGCTCTTGATCTCAGGTTCAAAGCCTCAATTAAAGCCTAGTAGGTGGTCAGCAGTTTCAAAACTGACGCACCTTCAAAGAGCAGCCTGCAAAGAAGAAAATGCAAGTGAATTTGGAAAGGTGGTTGGTGTATTACGATCTCTCTGTGCTGTCGAAAGTGTGCAAAACCATCTGAAAATTTTGGAGTTGTGCATTCAAGATCTGGAAGGAAGAATTGAGTGCCTATACAGACAAATGATCAAGACTAGAGTCTCTCTTCTCAATACTCTTAGTCACTAGCCTAGAATAGCAAGACACTTGCATCTATATATAAACCAAAAGTGAAAGATATCGTCCAATTCATACAAAATTTGATGCACTAGTTTTTGCCAAATATTTTGCTCCATTACTTATTTTTCCCTCTCTAAAGTGCAATATATTTATGTTCATATGCTGGTGCTTTGTGCTAGACTCATTTGCACATTAAACTAAAATTTTATCACTTAGATACTTTTCAGATTCTAATTGCACATATTATGAATGAAATAAGTTTAAAAAAAAAAAAAAGCCTAATGTCCTAAATCTAAAATAACCAATTAGTTTAACATTACCAAGTAAATTAGTTTTCAAGGATCCAAATCTCTATATTTGCATCTTCTTCTTCTCAACAATGTTTCTTCTTTTTTCTTTTTTCTTTTTTCTTTTTTTTCTGAAATAAATATTTCTTCTTTTTCTATAAGAAAAATAAAAAAAGTTAGTTTATTGACAAAGATACTTTAATTTATTAGCAAAAATAAACTTCAATGTGGCAAATTTATCACTTTCTAAAGGTGTCAAAAATACTGGTCCAAGTAAATTGATATGCACAAGCCAGATTTAAATCAAAATGCTTAGCAGGAAAGAGAATACTCTTAGCTTTTATAGAGAGTGGTGTCAAGGTCGATGTGAGGGAATTGCACCTTGACAATGTCTCAATCTTCCTACGTGGTTTCCCTAGAAACCATTCTGAGCCACTTCACCAATACTTGTTCTATGTTTGTTCCTCTGCAAGTGATGGTCCTCCTTTGCAGTATTTTTCCTGGCTCTACTTTTACTTGGCCTTCTGAATCCATAATTGACAGTGAGTTGTTCTCTAGGTTAGCATCTCCTTCATACCTCTTCAATTGTGACACAAGGAATACGCATGAATTCTGGCTTCCTGAGGCAACTTCAGTTGTTAGTAGTTGGTTTAAAAATAATGTAGGAGGAAATTGCAGTAATTTTTATTTCATTCAAGACCAGTTATTTATACAAAAGAAATAACTAATTTCTTACTTTTAATGCCTAATATCTGCATTATTATATTTGAAAAAATTCAAAAATATTAAATAAAATCTTGTAAAATTTTATTCAATATCTGCTGTAATTCTAATTTTTAAAAGTTTATTTGCTGAAACTAAAATGCCAGTTGTTCAACACTCCTTGGCATTTTTGTTACAGACACCGATCATTTTCCTAAGAATTTCAAACTTTTATCTAGGCAAACCCTTTATAAGTATATCAACATGTTGATTATTTGAAGAACAATGAATCAGTACTACTTTATTGAATTGTTAAACTTCTCGTGATATATTTTATTCTGCTATGAAATATAGAATTTTTTAAAATTGACATCGCTAAAAAATTGTCACATTTGATTTCAGTTGGACCTTTTTGTTAATATCTAAGATCCATTAAAAGTTTCTTTAACCAGATAGCTTAATCACAACAGAGGCGGCAGTAATATATTCAACTTCAGTTGTTGATTGTGCTGGTGTTTCTTGTTTCTTTTAGCTCCATGTGAAGATAGCAGAACCCAAAGAGAAAAGATTTCTAGAAGTGTTTTTGAAATCATCTAAACAGCTTCTCTAACCATTGTCAGAATATCCCAGCAGCTTCACTTCTTTATTTTCTGTATTTATATATAATTCAAGATCTATGATACCTTTTAAATACCTAAGCATTCTTTTTACTACTGAAAAATATTTTTCAAATATAGAATGTATATATCTAGATAAAATACTCACAGCAAACATAATATCAAGTCTGGTTGCTGTGAGACATAAAAGACTTCCAATAAAACTTCTATACAAGCTTTTATTAACCTTCTTTCCATCAACATCTTTACTCAATTTTTCATATGTAGATATTGGAATACTCATAGGTTTGCAATCTGTCACGTGAAATTTCTTTAAGATTATGCTCAAAAAATATTGCATCAGTCTTAAATCTGTTATTTCGAAAGACTCATTCATTTGAGCTTTAAATGATTGGATAATTTCAAGATTTTCTCATGTTATTAGCATGTCATCAACATATAGGGAGACAACCAGAATTTTTTCGTCTGCTTCTTTGACATATAAGGTTGCCTCACTATTACTTCTTTTGAACCTAAACTGCAATAAATAATTGTCTATTCTCTTATACCAAGCTCTTAGAGCTTGTTTAAGACCATAAAGGGTCTTCTTTAACAAATAAACATAATTTTCTTTTTCAGAAATTATAAAACCATCAAGCTGCTCAACATAAATTTTTTCATCAAGAAGGTCATTTAAAAATTTAACATCAAGTTGATGAATCTGTCATTTTTTAAATGCAGCAAAGGCAATAATTAATCTGATAGTGTCATACCTAACAACTGCAGCAAATATTTCTTGGTAATCGACTCCATGTCGCTGCACATATCCCTTGGCTACAAGTCATGCCTTGCGTTTGAAGATTGAACCATCATAATTACGCTTTGTTTTAAAAACCCATTTGACTCTAATTATTTTTTGCTCTTCAGGTCTTTCAACAAGCTCTCATGTTTCATTTTGTTGATCATTTCAATCTCCTCCTACATTACTTTTCTCCAAGCTGGTAAAGTTTTGCCTCATAGAAATTGTTTGGTTTTAAAACAATAAAATTGCACCTCTGATATATTTCTTGTAAGGATCTGGTACTTCTGATAGATTCATCATCAAAAGTTTAACTATCTGCTACAGCCTGTGATTGGTTTGGCCCGTTATTGAGAACTTTAGTTTGCACTTTCTCAATATTCTCTCAATTCGAAGCTGTCATTTCATTAAATTTAACATCTCTACTCACAACAATTTTGTTAGTTTTCAAATAGTAAGTTATGTATCCCTTTGTGACAAGGCTGTAACCAACAAAAATTCTTTTTTCTGCTCTTTTATGAAGCTTGTCCCTCTTCTGTTATGGAATTTGATAGAAACAAATGCTGCTAAAAACTCTAACATGATGCACTGACGGCTTCATATTATGTCAAGCCTCATATGGAGTATTGTCTTTGAGAGCTTTGGTGGGTAATCTGTTTAAAAGATATACCGAAGTAGTTACAGCTTCAGTCCAAAAATGTTTTGGTAAATTTTTCTCAAAGATTAGACATCTAGCCATCTCCATCACAGTCCTGTTCTTCCGTTCACTTACACCATTTTGTTGAGGTGTGTAAGTTACAGTTAACTGATGTTCAATCTTTTCATCTCTGCAAACTTTATCAAATTGGGTAGAGTTGTACTCTATGCTCTTATCATATCTCAACGTTTTAATCTTCAAATTATTTTAGTTTTCAACGTAATTTTTAAATTATTAAAACATGTCATAGATTTCACTTCTAGTTTAGAGAAAATAGACCCAACATATTTTAGAAAAATCATCAATGAAGAAAAGAAAGTATCGATTATCATTCATTAATGAAACAGTCATGGGTCTGCACATATCAATGTGTATAAGTTGTAGCTTTTGGGAAACCCTCCAAGTTTGACCTTTTGAAAATGGTAACTTTACATTTTTTTTCTCAATTGACAAGCATCACAATCATGAGATTCAGCTGCGATTTCTGGCATATTTTTAATAAGATTCTGCTTTATGAGTTTAGTTAAACTTCAATGATTGAAGTGTACTCCGTGCCATTGTCATGGTCCTGTTCTTCCGTTCACTTACACCATTTTGTTGAGGTGTGTAAGTTACAGTTAACTGATGTTCAATCTCTTCATCTCTGCAAACTTTATCAAATTGGGTAGAGTTGTACTCTATGCTCTTATCAGATCTCAACATTTTAATCTTCAAATTATTTTAGTTTTCAACGTAATTTTTAAATTATTAAAACATGTCATAGACTTCACTTCTAGTTTAGAGAAAATAGACCCAACACATTTTAGAAAAATCATCAATGAAGAGAAAAAAGTATTGATTATCATTCATTAATGAAAGAGTCATAGGCCTGCACATATCAATGTGTATAAGTTGTAGCTTTTGGGAAACCCTCCAAGTTTGACCTTTTGGAAATGGTAGCTTTACATTTTTTTCTCAACTGACAAGCATCACAATCATGAGATTCAGCTGCGATTTCTGGCATATTTTTAATAAGATTCTGCTTTATGAGTTTGGTTAAACTTCAATGATTGAAGTGTACTCTGTGCCATTGTCATGGTCATGTTCTTCCGTTCAATTACACCACTTTGTTGAGATGTGTAAGTTATAATTAACTGATATTCAATCCCTTCATATCTGCAAAACTTATCAAATTAGCTAGAGTTGTACTTCATAACATTGTCAGATATCAATATTTTAATCTTCAAATTATTTTGGTTTTCAATGTAATTTTTGAATTGTTAAAACACGTCATAGACTTTACTTCTAACTTTGCGAAAATAGACCCAATACATTCTAAAAAAATTATCAATAAAGAGAAGAAAGTATCAGTTATCATTTATTTATGAAACAGTCATGGGTCTGCACATATCAGTATGCATATGTTGTAGCTTTTGGGATGCCTTCCAAGCTTGACCTTTTGGAAATGGTAGCTTTACATTTTTTTCTCAATTGACAAGCATCACAATCATGGGATTCAGCTGCAATTTCTGGCATATTTTTAACAAGATTCTGTTTTATGAGTTTGGTTAAACTCCAATGATTGAAGTGTCCAAATTGTTTATGCCATAAAATTGAATCATTTAAATCTGTACCTATATAAGCTTTATCCATATTCCAATCAACAGCAAAACTTTTCTCCTTCATTTTCACACAGAACAACCAACTCCATCATTATCAAAGATAATGCAATTTTTATTTTTAAACTCAAGAGAATAATCTTTCTCCAATATTTGCTCAACATTCAACAAATTTTGACTGAGTTCAAGAACATATAAAACATTATCAATGAGTTTAATACTTGTAGAAGTTTTTACTCCAACTATACCTTTGCTTTTTACTTCAAGAAGTTCTTCATTGTCAATTCTCACAGTGGTTTTGAAGTTTTAATCAAAATCTTTAAAGATTACTGCATCCAATGTCATATGGTTTATGCATCCGCTATCAATGAACCAAGCGTTGTCGATATTTATACTACAAAAGCATGAGGTAGCAAATAGTTTCACCTCTTGAATTTCTTACTCAGTTACCTGTACTTGTAGACTATTTTGATGAACTTTAACCTTGCTTTTACATACTTTGGTGATGTGTTCAGGTCGTTTGTGATTGCCACATATTACATTAGGCCTCCACCAACAATATTTCTCTATATTAGTGGTCTCTTTGCAGTGCGTACAGGGAGCAAATTTTCTCTTGCTATCGTAAGCTTTCATTTTTTTTTTTAACTTATTGGAAAAATATTGTTTACCATTATTTCCTTAATGATTTTGTGCATGAAAGGCTCCTTTAATAATTTTTTCTTACCACAAAACCCTTTCTTTGTTCTTGTGCTTAACGAGCACTCATCAGTTCAGGTATTAAAATATTGTTGAGATCTTTGTACACATTTAAAGAGGAAATTTTGGACTCAAATCCCCTAGGAAGTATCACGAGAACCTTTTCCACAATTTTGCTATATGGAAAATCCTCACCAAGCAAATGGATTTGGTTGACTATGAAAAAAAATTTATTAGAGTATTTGTTGACAGATTCATCTTCTTTTATACTTAAAGTTTCAAAATTCCTTTTCAGATTTAAAATCTGCATTTATCTGGTTCTGTCGCTTCCTTGATACTCTACTTTTAGTCTATCTCAAGTTTCTTTAGCAGTCTTGCATGCCATGATTCTCGAAAAAAAATGAATCTGCCACCGAATTTTGAATAACAATCTTAGCTCTAACTCTTTTGGCTTTTTCTTCATAATTGTTTTTGATTTGTGCCAAGGTAGGATCTCTTGGCAGTGGGGGTATAAGTTTATCTTTTATTACAATCTTCCAAAGATTAAAGTCTTTTAAATATGTTTGTATCTTTAGTGACCAAATTTGGTAGTTTTTATCATTAAAGGTATGTGGAGCTATCAAAGAAAGGCTATTTGTCAGTTGACATTTTGGGTTAACTTTGATACCACTTGTTAGTTTAAAAACAATAATAGCTGACAGCAAAAAAAAAAAGATGTAAAAGGAAATTGCAGTTTTTTTTTTTATTTTAGACTAGTTATTTATAAAAAAGAAATAATTAATTTTTTATTTTTAATGTCCAATATCTGCACTATTATATTTGAAAAAATTCAAAAATATTGAATAAAACCTTTCAAAATTTTATTCAATTATTATTTCCTGCTCTTTTTTAAAAAAATTTTATGTAAAACTAATTTTTTTAAACATATATGCTACAATTCTAATTTTTAAAAATTTATCTAATAAAACTAAAATGTCAGTTGTTCAATAATAGTCCACTGACTCGATTTCTTAAATAACATGAAATGGTGCATAGAATTAAGTGTCAATTTAGACATATTCTTACTGTTATGCTAAATTGACAATAGGATTGCAGTTTCAACAGCACCAAATCCTCTTCAATAAATTACCTCTCAATTCTTGTGTTGTCAGCAAAACTTTTCATAAGGGTTTATATAATATAAGTACAATTTCTCTTTGGTTAATAATTAAATAATAATTATTTATTTTCTTGAATTAGATATTACAATTTAAGTCATTAATGTTCTTATCAAGCCACACATCAAAATTACAAATCACCATCTAAATTACCCACAAGGTTCAGGATGTACTACTAGTTTTAAGTCACATGGTTGCCACATGTCTAATACTATTTACAATACTTTAGGTCAAATACCTTTAATCCGGAATTATTTTTTATTCAAACCACCAGAATTCAAAAATTTAAACTCAAGTTATAGATATTGTAACGGCCTCGGAAATTTAAAATGAAATGTATATTAAAAATATCAAATGCGGAAGCGAAGTCAAAAATTCGATTAACATCCCTTACACTAAAAACAAAAACGTGCTCACAAAATATAAAAGATCAAACTACCTAAAGGAGAAACTTGAAAGTAAAAGCTACGAATATGACTATGGAGTCTTTAGGCGTCCCCTTCGTCGTCCTCCTGCGGAACCGGCTCGGGAACGATGTCTTCCTGATCTGAAATGATTAAATAAGGAATGAGCTACACTAGCCCAGTAAAGACATCACGATATCTCACGTCACGGAGGTAAAGGTGGGTAGAAAACACAAAAAGACCAATGGAGCATAATTTACAACAAATTCTTTTACCAATAATAAATCTTTCACCATCCACTTACCTCGATGGAATCCATAAAACAGTATACGAAAGCAATAACATTATCATCATCATGAAATCATATACGAACTGTGATACATAATACTTATCAAGCCTTTTGTAATTCAATCATTACACAACATATTTTTCCTCTTTTACCAGCCCACTAGTATCCATGGGATCCATAAGGGTCCCGCTACCCGTTAACCCTTAACACTTGAAATCATATTCCAGGGCCGTCCCCATACCCCGTCCGGTATGGGCGCCAAAACACATAAGATCTCTATACCCCGTCCGGTATGGGAGACCACAATCCTGGTAGGGTTCCCTACGGACTCGGTCCGTCCACCATCTCCCAGGATATCTAGTCAAGCTGACCACATTATACAATTACCCATTTACATAATCTATCATTCTCTTTTCCCTCAGTCAGCATCATCAATCCACATACAAACAAGCAAAACAATAATTTATGCCAAACAGACAACATACAGCATCAATATCCCAGTCATTCAATCCATAATCGGTAAAACAGTAAAATATGCACACGAAACTATAAAATGAAAACATCAAACCTCATACTGCTTTTAAAACTGTAAAACATGGCAAATAACAATTAACCGACAACCACACTAAACTCGGGCTCCATTAGCGACCTTAAGCAATTTTACACATTCGTTGATTCATGAAATACCGTTTTATCATTATTGAACTTTAATACCGTGATAGGAAATAGGGTGAGGGGTCCTTACTCGTTTCGGGGTCCGAACATGGCTTCACAGTGCGCCTACAGGCTGTTCCTAATTTTCCCTGAATTTTTTCCGGGGAACTGAAACGCACTACTGGTACCTGTACATGTTCCAAAAAATCCCAAATTACGCCCAGGGCCCCTTTTTGGCCAATATCGCAATTCCAGTACGGCGGCTCCGCCGTGCTCCGGCGACGGCGCCGCCGCTTGCGGCAGCGATTAGCCTCGATTTGGCCGTTTCCGGCCGAATTCGGCCACACTTGCATCGATCCTTGCGATTAAACAACTCTAGGGCCCTCGGGGGGCCAAAAAATTACGGAAAACCGAAGCTTACCGGCGGCGGTGCTCTCGGGTGCGGCGGCTCTCCGGTGAAGTTCGTGTTTTGGTGATTCAGCTCCGATCAACCTGTAGAGAAAAGAATGGTGATTACAGTGATATAAAAATTGCATTAAACGGAGGCCGGGAAGGGCCTCATCGGAGGCAAAAACCGAGGAGGGGCGCAGCGGCGCCGCTGGGTTTCGGCCGTTTGTCCGGGATTTTGGCTCCGATTTGGCCACAGGGGAAATCAGCGTGGAAAAACGAATCGGGGGTATGAAATTTACCTCGATCGGCGGTCAGAAATCTCTCCGGTGCGGCAGCGGGTGGCGGCGGCCGGCTTCTGGTTCGTCTTCTCCGGCGAGGGCAGGCGGCTAGGGTTTTGTGGTCTGGTGTGGGGGTCTTATTTATACCCTTTTGCCTTTTGATCTCAGCCATCCATTTTGATTGAATCTGGGCCGTCTGTTTTTGATTGAATCTGGGCCGTCCGTTTTTATATCACCGTGATCATCATTCTTTTCTCTACAGGTTGATCGGAGCCGAATCACAAAAACACGAACTTCACCGGAGAGCCGTCGCACCCGAGAGCACCGCCGCCGGTAAGCTTCAGTTTTCCGTAATTTTTTGGCCCCCCGAGGGCCCTAGAGTTGTTTAATCGCAAGGATCGATGCAAGTGTGGCCGGAAACGGCCGAAAACGGCCAAACCGAGGCGAATCGCCGCCGCAGGGTTTCGACCGTGTTTTCCGGCCGTTTGACCGGAATTTTAGCTCCGATTTGGCCACAGGGAAAATCAGCGTGGAAAAACGAGTCGGGGGTATGAAATTTACCTCGATCGGCGGTCGGAAATCCCTCCGGTGCGGCGGCCGGCTTCTGGTTCGTCTTCTCCGGCGAGGGCAGGCGGCTAGGGTTTTGTGGTCTGGTGTGGGGGTCTTATTTATACCCTTTTGCCTTTTGATCTCAGCCGTCCATTTTGATTTAATCTGGGCCGTCCGTTTTTGATTGAATCTGTGCCGTCCGTGCGATTGCATCTGGGCCGTCCGATCGCACGTTTGATCTGGGCCGTCCGATCGCGCATACGCGGATCGCCAACGTGGCCCGTCCCGGATCGACGTGGTCTTGCCACGTGGCAGGTCCCGGTTGGCCGGGACTGCTGACTGGGTCTGCTGACGTGGCTGCTGAGGTGTCCTCTCCTTTTTTTTTTTTTTTTTTTTTTTTCTTCTTCTTCAATTTCCCGGGCGCTACAGATATTATGTAACTTAAACCCATATATGAACCTAAAAATCACATATTTTCCTATAAAGAATCATGATATCATATGACATAATTTTTATTTATTTGATAAGCACTTATCTATTTCCCATATATATGAATTAGCAGGCAATGATTTTCTCTTGTATCTAATAGTTAAAATTTTCACGCTCCAGTTGATAATACCTAAGATATTCATAATACTATTCAAAAAAATTTTAATCTGTTTAGATTTTTCATATTTCTATTAAATATTCTAAAGAAAATAACATCAACTATTAAACATTCAAAATAAAAGTTAAAAAGATTGATGGAAACTGTACTATAGAGTCAACGGCCTTGCCAAATATTTCTATATCCAAATGATTGTTAGATGTATATTTTGTTTATGTACAAATATCAGTTACATATATTCAATTCTAGTAGTTGAAGATGTTGAGGATTGAAACTCTGGCTTTGATTAAGCACCTATAGATGCACTCAACTCCTCCTTCAAGATCATTGACACACAGCTCCAAGTTTTGCAGCTTGTGTTGCACATTCTCAGTTTTTATGTTGTTGTCTGATTTGCAGCCAAGGAAGGACCCCAATGCTGAATCCACCAGACCAAATTCGTTTTCATCTTCTTCCTCGCACGCTATTCTCCAGTTGCTCATCAGCTTGGAAAGCAATGACCAGTTGCTGGTGAGCTTTGCTTGTGCCTTTGATCCACATATAAAGGAAAACAGTGATTCAAGTACAGTGATATTGACTTTTGCTACCTCTTTCAAAAATTCAAAAGTTTCATCATCTTTGTCAAACATGTATTTAGTTTCCAAACCCTTCAAGTTCTTCAATGCTTTGTGGATCATCTTCTTCACAGTCTTCCTAGAGGCTAAGAATTTCCTGACCTCATCCACAATACCAATTTCACCACCTCTTTTTCTTCGGATGGCTGATTGAAACTCATGTACACTTTCCTTTGTTTGCCACAAGGCATCCTTGGCACTGTTGCACAGATCCAAGAGCCTAAGAGATCCATCCAATACTTGATCAACCAGTGCCTTGTGCTGCTCCTGGGTGAAAGCTTGCTGAGTCAAAGGCAATTGAAACAACTTATTAACACAATCGTTCAAATCCTGGAGGCCACTTATTTTTCGGCTGATGGATGATGAAGATGTAGAGGTGTCCTCGGAGGATCTCAGTCTGCTCAAATACTCACCAACTTCTAAACTGAGTGGGTGTGGCCTAGAGGGCAAGCTGTTAGATCTAGCATGGTACGTTGACTGGGTTCTTGAAAGAGAGGCAGTCATTTTTCTTAGAGGCCAGAAGGCTTTGCTTTCAACGTAGAATATGTCTTGTTATCTTCTCTCCTTCTTGGCCGTCTTCTCAATATATTTATGTATGGATACAATGAGAGAAAGAGACATAAGGAATCTTATCTTCTTTTATATTCAATAGACGGGCAATGTATTTGAGATCTAGATCTTCATGCTTCCTCTGCAATGTTCAACCAATGTCTCCCCACCACCACCTTGCCAACTCAACCAACAATTATTTTAAGGGAAAAAAATCAGAGCAGTATCTGCAGATAAAGTAATTTAGTAGCTGCAGAATGATTCATAAACTATTCAATGCACGAGTGACAAATACAATGTTACCTAACATACATCCAGCTTGGCCACACATGGTAGTGGCGTATAATAAAATGCTTCATATTGTGCACGCATAAAGTTGCTTATCTTCACCCATAACTGTATCTTCATCAGATTGTTTATTTACCTAATATAACATATATAATTCACTTGTAAACAAGTATAAAATAAAAATTACACATATCAACTTATCCTGTGTTTCTATAGGATAGGAGAGCTCTACAGAGCCACTCGTATGTGATTATAGAAAATATATTTATTTTAGAACACGAGTAAAACATGTATCATATATACATGTAACTGGAAAGATTATTTCACAAAATTACACTATCTTAAGGCTTTATTTAGATAAATTTCAGTGATAGTTAATTAATATATAGTAATGACAGTAATTGAATAGCAATAATATAAGATTGTAATGACAAAATTTTTTTATGTTTGGATGATAATATATTAATGTATGTTAATGACATATTTTTATTTGGATGATAGTATGATATAATTGTATTTTTAGCTCAATTACTAATTTACCCCTACATATTATATGTAATAGTAAATTGTATAAAAGAAGTATATAGAGAAAAAAAATTATTTATCAATATAATTATATTTGTATTTAAATAAATAATTATTATACATAATTAAATTAAAATTTTATATTTAATAAAATAAATAATAATTATTTATATTATTACATTAATTTAATAAATTTTTAATTGTCATGACATACATGAAATTAATTAAATTAGATAGGGGTATAATGAAAAATAAATAGAATGCTCACCAAATACTACCAATATGGTGATTTAAAAATCCACTCCAAAATTTGTCAGTTAAATAACATTTGTTATTTTTTCACGTCTGTAAAATATTATATATTAAAATTTTATTATTTATCATGATCCAAACAAAGACTTAATGTAAGATTTCTTTTCAGCCTTATACACACAGGGCCCAAGTTTATTCCATGTTTGAACATTAACATATGTCAGTTTGACCACGTTTTCTGAGAGAATTAAGAATCTGCACACTGTTGGCTCAGAAAACTAAGAAGCTGCAGACTGTTGGTCCAGATAAATAATTGATTCAACATTATCTTCCATCTTTTTAATATTAAATGAATAGTAAGATGTTCTTTGCTTGGATCTGCATTTTACCTCAGTCGTGCCTATGTAGTCTCCTCACCCCAGCTTTTCAACTCTGTAAATATAGTAATATAGCATACTACACAACGAAGCATAAAAATTGTGGTGCACGAGTGGCATATGAATTGTCAGCTACATAGATGGTAAATCCTAAGACTACATCATGTAGTTTGTCATCTTCTAAACAATTTACTTTTTCTTTAAATATCTTCCAAATGGATAGTTGGGAGAAGTAATATCAACCATAAAGGTTTGGAAATTGACAGAGATAGGAGGAAAGTACTCTATGGTGGCAAAGTTTGATAAGGCTAATAATTTCTTTTTCAAAAGTTTGTAAAGCAAAGTGAATATCTAGGGTTGCAAAAAAAAACCCATTATAATACCCTAGTTTCAGATCAAAAATATATTTAATTGTTAAGCTCTATATAAGAGCTCAAGTTAGTTACTAGTAATAACTTGAGTTTAACTCTTTGAGAGTTAGTTGATTGGATCCGAAAGATTGTTGGAATAGTGGTACTTGAATCCAGATTTGTTACACGTAATATTAAAGTATATATTAGTTTAGTGACTTTAATTAATACATTCTTGCACCTTGTGAACTCTTGGATTATGATTTGTGATTGTGTGATGTGTGATTTTTGACGAGAACATCAAAAATTTGAACAGTGGAGATTTGTGATACCTTATGACTGTGTGATGTCTGAAATATTTGATCAATGTAGATATCAGTTACATAATTCTAAATGTAGTGGCTGGAGATGGTGAGGACAGAAGGAAAGTATAATACAGAGGAAAATCTTGAGAAGGCTAATAATTTGTGTATCACAAGGATAATTACATATGTAATATTTTATGTAAAATATGAGTCAAATCATCTTAATTCTAGTGGTTGAATCTGTTGAGGATAGAATCTCTGGCTTTCATTAAACACCTAAAGAGGCATTAAAGTCCTTCAAGATCTTGAACACATAAATCCAAGTTCAGCATCTTGCTTTGCAAATTCTCAATTTTTGTGGTCTCTTCGGTTTCGCTGCCCTTGGAGGAGCACAAAGCTGCATCCACCATAACAAATTCATTTACACTAGCTTCTGCCTCACATGCAATTCTTCTGCCGTGCATCAGCTTGGAAAGTAATGGCCAGTTGTCGCTGGGCTTTGACTGTGCCTTTGATCCAGAGATGAAGTACAACAATGGCTCAAATACTACCATAGTGACTGCTATGACCTCTCTCAACAAACTAATCATATAACAAGATTCATCATCTTTGTCTGATGTGTATTTATTCTTCAACCCCTGAAAGCTCTTCAAGGTCTTTTCGTTTGTCTTTCTCAGAGTTTTTGTAGTGGTCATGAATTTCCTTACCTCACGGGAATTTGTTATGTTTCCTCTTCTTCTGCTAATCACTGATTGAAATTCATGTAGGCTTTCTTTGTTTGCAACAAGGCATCCCTTGCATTGTTGCACAGATACAAAAAGCTAGAGAGATCCACCCAAAACTCCATTAACAAAGACCTTCTGCCGATCTTGGATGTAAGCTTGCTGAGTGAGAGGCAATTGAAGCAACTTATAAACACAATCAAGCAAATCTTGAAGACTGTTTAGTTGTTGTTTTTTGATGATGAAGAAGGAGAGGCGGGCTTCAGATACATAAGGTTTTGATGTTTCAATTTGCAACTCTGTCCTGTGACTTGCTCCTTGGCATCTGCTCAATATATACCATGGAATGGGAAAGACATGAGGAATTTCGTCTGCTTGAAATTGATATTAACATGATTTTGATCTGGATCTAACTGCAATTTCAGCTATGTTTATGAAATGTATTGCCAAATCAGCTCGCCAATTCCTCAAACAAGTATTTTAAGGATCTCATATCGGGGAAAAAAGGAGCCAAATAAGTTATATAGCTTACTGCAGAATAATCCATAAATATGTAATGCACGAGTGGCATTTACAATCTGTTGAAACATAGAAAATTCCAGCTTGCCCATTCTCCCTTTTACAAACCTGTTATTAGATTAAATTGTCTTGACAACTGACAATAAAATTCATCATCTGTAGCCCATGAGATAGACATGCCTTCCTAGCTAGACACGATTTTGCCAGTAACCAAGACATTCGACAATGCAAACAAATTAGTTTGATCCCCTTTTGCACATGCATCAAAAGGATTATTCTACACACATGGGAATTACATAATTAAGTGCATATGAAAAATATATTTATACGTCATATACAGATTATTTTAGAGGAAGCAGGTCAACTTTCAATTTGCAAATATAGAATAGTTTATGAATCAGATAACTGCTGGGGTGGCAGGAACATTGCATAAACATCGCTGACAGTGTTTTGATCTGATCTAAAATGATGCCACTAGTAGTTGATAAACAAAGCTGATCAGATTCCTTACGTCTCCACCACCCTGAAATATAAATTGAAGAAGACCAAGAGGAAAGAAAGTGAATTCTCGTAGAAGACTGCAATTTATTCAACTTCTCATACAAGGCCTTCTTGTTTCCACCAAAAATGGCTGCCTCTCTTTTAAGCAGAAAACCTGCTTTCCACACCCGATCTAACAGCTTCCCCTCTAGACATCACGCTCTCACTTCACAAATTGATGGGCATTTATGTAGAGTGAGATCTTCTAAATCAGCCTCTACATCATCATCATAATAAGCAATAAACTAAATGACCTTGTTAATAGGCTGCTTCAGTTGCCACTCACCCAACAAGTCTTAGCCCAACAACAGTACAAGAAATGGGGTGAAGCAATTCTTGATAGTTCCCTTAGGCTCTTAGATGTCTGCTGCATATCAAAGGACTTGTTGCTGCAAACAAAGGAGAGTACACATAAAATACGAACTGTTTTGCGGAGAAGAGGTGGTGAAGTTAGTAAATGCATGGCCACTAGGAAGACTCTCGTGAAGGCGATCAACAAGGCCCGGGAGAACTTCGAGGCAACAGAAGCTAAAACAGATTCTTTCTTCCACAGACAATGAGAGCATGGCAGTAGTTACTACATTAAAAGAAGTGGAATCTGCCACCCGTGCTGTCTTCGAATCATTGTTGTCCTTTATGTCAGGGAACAGGGCTCAATCAAAGATAAAAGGCTGGCCTCTCGTTTCCAAGTTAATGCAACCCAAAAGGATCATGTCCGAGGAATCAGATTCAGAAGTCAATGAATTTGAGAAGGTGAACGCAGCACTGCACAGTCTCGCTGGCCGCAGGCCAATCAGTTTTGAAAGATCAGAGCGCAGTGAGAATTTGCTAAATTGGCTCACAGACCTGGAATTGTGCATTCAAGATCTGGAGGAAAAACTTGAAAGCCTGGCGAGGCATTTGATTAAAATTAGAGTCTCCCTTCTGACCATTCTTAACCACTAGCTTAGAAGATCACGAACTTAAATTCTTCTGCATGAATGGTGTATACTTGTATATCACACTTTTGATAATAAATACAGTCACCTTGAGATGCCCATGGCACTTCCCAATTTTTCTTCAATTTGTTGTCTCAGTAAAGAAAAAAGTAAAAAGAAACTACTTCAAAGCATACTGGGAACTATTCCCAGACAGCAGTAACATGGATAAATCAAGACTAGAAAAAAATGTTACAAGATTTTTATCATTAATTTCAATCATGTATTGACCTTCTTAAATTCTAAATAACGGATTAGCTTCCAAGCTTTGTAATTAAACTTTATACCAAGCATGTAAGTATTCCCTTTGTCTCGACTAATAGGATTAAGAACAAATCAAAATAGATGACTTCCACATTAACTCTCCATTTCACATGCTTTTAAATAATGAACAATGTGCTAGTGTCTTCATGTTAGGGGGATGCCAACTAAACCTACACGCTTTGGATTCTAAATTTTTAATATTCTCTTTTTTATTCATTAGCTTCTAATGGGATTGGACAGCAAGAGGAAAGGATCTTGTCTGCCACTCGCAAGGCAATCAGCATACTGATGATGTTGCTAATTAACCAAGTGTTGATGGGATGAACTCGGTGGATTTAAATCATGGTTTTAGGGATCATTTTGTAATAACTTTGCAATGTTGGACATGGTTTCAGAGTACTCAATGTGCTACTTTTCTCTAGCTACATTATCTGCGACTGACAAGAGACTAACTAGAGAATTGTATAATTAGAAAAGCCAACACTTTCTCTGTTTGAAGGTTCTGTGCAACAATGAAATTTTAACAATAAAAATAATGCAGAAAAGTAAAATGACACAAGAAATTTATGCATTTCAGTCAATGTAGAAGGTATAGATCTGAATTCCTTACAGAAAAATATGAAGATTACAACTTTCCTCTAATGGCTAAACCCTATATCCAGTCTACTCCAAAACCGTTTTTTGAAAAGATACTATTTTCCTGATATCTAATTTGGTAAAAATAAAATCAAGATAGGTTATAACTAAAGGAATGCATGGAAAGTAGGAATGAAAATAAAACAACATATTCCATGTATGGAGATCTTGCCTGCCTCCTGCACAGCAATCACACCAGAGACTTGAAAGCTTGAATCGGTTAATAACACATAAATGATTGCACGTGTATATGCACATGCACAAAAGGGTGCTGGCCTTAGAAAGATGGGTTTTGTCTTTTACTATATCATAAAGAAACCTTTTAAATCAGTACCCCTCGTGCAATATTTCCTATATTATATGGAACCAACACGTTTGGTCCTATTAGTTTTTAATAATTTGATGCTGAGTGGGAGACATGCATAAATAAACATTGCTGAATAAAGACCTAAATCCAAATCAATATTTTTCTACTAGTGCTCCATAATTGAAGAGGAAGAGATTCCTTTTGTCTCCCTTAACTTGTTGTATACTGAAGAGAGGCAAAGAACAGAAGGCAAATTGAAAGAAGTAGGTTTAGCAATATTCATCTTCTAGGCCTTTCTTTTTGTGAGAAATGGCTGCCCACCATGTTCGCTCCAACAGTTTGCCTTCTACACCACATCCTTTCTTCTCACAGATTGAAATAAATTTGGGCAGAATAAGGGCCTCAGAAGGCACTCCATCATCCTTATCATCAATAAACCACAACCTAAGTGGACTTCAGGATTTGCATGATTGTTTTGAGAAGTTTCTTCTCTTGCCTCTAACCCAAAGAACATTAGTACAAGAGCAACAACCAAAATGGAGTGACTTGTTGGATGGATCTCTCAGATTGTTGGATGTATGCAGTACTGCTAAGGATTCCTTGCTGCAAACAAAGGAATGCACGCAAAAACTTTTGCCGATCATCCGGAGAAGAGGTGGAGTTGAAACTGAGGCTAAGAAATTCCTAGCCTCAAGAAAGGTGATTAAAAAGGCAATCCACAGGGCCATTGGAAGGTTGGAGAGTATGCAAAAGCAACGAGAACTTTCTTCCTCGAACGCAGACCAGGAGACAATGGCCACAGTTAGCATGTTGAGAGAGGTGGAAGCAGTTACTCTCAATGTATTCAAGTCATTATTGCTCTTTATATCAGGTTCAAAGTCTCAATTAAAGCCTAGTAGGTGGTCAGCAGTTTCAAAACTGACGCACCTTCAAAGAGCAGCCTGCAAAGAAGAAAATGCAAGTGAATTTGGAAAGGTGGTTGGTGTATTACGATCTCTCTGTGCTGTCGAAAGTGTGCAAGACCATCTGAAAAATTTGGAGTTGTGCATTCAAGATCTGGAAGAAAGAATTGAGTGCCTATACAGACAAATGATCAAGAGTAGAATCTCTTCTCAAGGCAGATTTAAATAAAAAATGCTTAGCAGGAAAAAGAAAAGTCTTAGTTTCTATAAAGAACTGTGTCAGGTTCTTGCTCATTATGGGCTAAAAGTGAGGTCGGAAATAGAGAAAAGAGAGGGAGAGAGAGAAAGAGAGAGCGAGAGAGAGAGACAGAGGACAAAAGGGAAAAAGAAAGAGAGAATTTAGATGAGTTATTCCTTCATATTTTTTTTCATTACTTTTTTTAGTATTCACTGTTGCCATAGATAAAAAATATTTAATTTCTATTTTTAAAAGGTATTTAAAGTGTATATATTTTATATCTTTCTATAATTAAATTATATAACTGTACTTAAAGAGATATCAGCTTTGAACCTTGATTATTGTAAATTACTCTAAATTAGTCTTTTGACTTTTGTACGTTCACTTATTTATTGAATCAAAAAATAACAGAAAAATATTTCAAGTCATTCAGTCAAAATTTTTCTAAATCAAAAGTTATCATGGTCTTAGAACTCTGGTCATAGAGTTTTATGATTTTTTTTATTGTTCTTGGTGTTATTAGAATTTCAAGCTAATGTAGATTGCAAGTTTTCATCTATGTGATTTTTCATCAAAACAATTCTTTGTTTCTTTTGGTTGAGATTGCAGATCAAGTTTAGGTGAAGAGGAAGCTCATGTAGTTTGGTAATCTTCCAGCTATATTAGGTTGCTTATCTCTCTACATTTGAGATAATTTTAGATTGTTTTATATAGTGAAAATATTTGGTGATAAATATGAATTTTTTGTTAAATTAAAGAGAGAATTATTCAATATGGGAATTTTGATATCGATTATATGTCACTGGAAAATAATTATAGAGACACCTTGATGGCACTAATCCAGCACCAACAGATGCTACTAAATTAGAGCAATGGAAGATCAA